CAATTAAAAATAAAATGATAACTGAATGAAAACTTGAAAGGAATGTTATTTATTTCAAAATGAATTCCAAAAAGATTCTATTATAATCCAAAAAATAATGTGCTGCTTAATCTATGGAATGCAGCATATATGAAGATGATACGGTCGTCATCAGTGTTGCATATATCTATACTAATCAGCAGACCAGGACAAGAGTACATGACTACATTATCTTTAGTTAATAAAGTACCTTTTAGTTTCTTCAATTACAGATTACTATGTGCAAAGCTAAACATTCTCATACCGTGCTCATCAATACACACAATGTCTCTTGCTTCAGCAGATCCACAGTTGCATTGGAAACCTAATGGTAATCCGTTGACCACATAAGGGGTGAACATCCCCTCCTGAAATTAATTAAAATATACAATAACATTACTTACTTTTAGTAGAGACACCAGCAATATATTAATAAATAGTAATTATTATATGGCTGTGTCTCACGAAGACTGGGAACTACCAAATTCACAAATTTGATCAATTGGCTGAAATCAATGTTGAAAGCGGTCTAGATTTTCTCATCTAGACCAGCATCTAGACCAGTCTAGGAAAAACAGGTAAAAAGTATATAAAAAAATGGCATATAAGACACAGCCATGTAATAAACATCTTATTAACCGAGCTAGGTCAGTCTGTATGACAGAATCTTGACCTTGGTCACTGGTACAGACCTCACTGTATTCGGTCTGTACTGGTGATCTCGGTCTCGATTCTCCCATACAGACCTCCCGCTCGGTTAATAAGAATAAGAACTACATGAAAAGGGGTACAATGAATATTTTGATTCATTGCACTACAGACAGCATGACAGCTGAATTGACAATATACTCTATGTTACACAACAACAACAACATTTTTATTTCTACCTTGAATTGATACAAGCTCTAAACATTTTTAGCGAAGAAACAGTTTGTAATAGTTTCTCTACTGAGCTCCATATTTTTGTACCTATGAATTTGATAATGAATTTGTCATAATTTGTTTTTGCTTTTGGAAGATACAAGTTTTTCCTTGCAGCAGATCTTGTTTGACAATTACACCAGGTTTATATTCATATAATTTTTATTTGGATGAAAATTAAAACTTTTGTTCTTTTTTAACTACTTTATTCATATATTCCTTAATAACTGATATGCAATAGATCAGCTTACAAAAAAGGGGCGAGAATAATAATGTCAAACAAAAGTTGGTCCCACAGCAGTTCGATCGGAAACCTCTCGGAGCAGAGTAGAGAACCAACAAACTCAATCCACTTATTACATTTCGAAACTCACCTTCCATTTTTCCAAAACATGAAAATGGTTCCTCACACTGTGCAAAATATTAGCACATTCAAGGCAGAAGTACTGCTTGGGGCCACAATATTGACATCGCAGTGTTGCTGGTTCTTGGAGGCAGTAAACACATGTTGTGTCAGTCAGAAAACAGCATTCCTCCACATAAGAATCAAACAACTGTCTTCTTATGTTGTCCCATTTCTGGATGTTGGCGATATGTCTTTTCTCGTACGAAGATAGACCAGAACCGCTCTCACTAAACTCCTCAAACGAGAAAGGTTCGACGATCTCAGGTTGTTCATTTTCAACTGAACAGGTTCGTGGGGTACGAAGCGTGGA